ACACGTACTTATCGGGATTCGGCGCACGAGTTCAACATAGAGGTATTGGACCCGCTCACGTCCGAGGATTTCGCATGGCTTCCTCTCCCGACCACGGGCCGCTTCCCGGGACTGCAATTGCCAGCACTATGCGTTCATCTCCACACGTACTTATCCTTCTATGCACCACCAACTTCGCCGACGGATGTCGGAGTCGCGGTGGGGGACATCCTTGCGTATGTTACCAAGGTGGCCCGCGAGTTTCGCAATCAGCGGTACGACGACAACAACGCACCGCTCCTTTATGTCCACATCCAAGTTGGGCACGCGTCCTGCAGCGTTTTGCTGGATAACGGAGCGACTCGCAATTTCATGAGCCAAACCTTTATGCAAAGGGCTGGCCTTGGCGCACAAGTTTGGAGGAAGGCAAACCCGACAGCGATCAAGTTGGCGGACGGAAGGACGCAACAACTTTTCGATCGTTACTTCGAGGCCGCACCGGTGTATTTCGCACCTCATGCATGCGAACCGGTGACGTTCGACATTTTGGACACGGACTTCGATATCATTTCGGGAATGCCTTGGCTTGCAAGTGCGGATCACACGGTCAACTTCCACCAGCAGACTCTTAGCGTTTGTGACGCCTTCGGCGTCGAAGTACCGTGTACTATTCCTCTTCCGCACCCTTCGACCCGGTGCCAAGTGGTGACGGCCAAGTCAATTCTTCCCCCACGGCCTTGTCTTCGGACCCCCGTGTGGTGCGGTTGCTGGACGAGTTCACCGACATCTTCCGGTGTGGTGCTGGATCGGCCGATCTCTCACCGTGCCGCTGAACGGCTGCATTTACCGCAGCTACGACAACAGACCGACCGAATACTTGGTACACTTTGTGTACTGATGCAAGGCAAGCCGGTATCTTCGGCTCCACGTCGCACCCGCGACCAGATTCCAGCTTCAGATCGTCAGCTTCGCCCTCGACCCGGCTTGACTTCATAAGCAGGGGGCGGTGTTACATGCTGCGCCTGCAACAGGCTGCACGGGCCATTTTCAGGCCCGTGTCATTTTCAGCCTGAAAGCCTGAAAATGAGGGCCTACAGACCCCGTGTTGTTTTCAGGCCGAAAGCCTGAAAACAAGGGCCTACAGGCCCCGTATCAGTTTCAGCCTGAAAGCCTGAAAACA